GAAAACCAAAGAAGATTCCAGCACCTTTCCAGCTTCCTGCCCTGTTTCAGTAACAGCTGTTAATTGCCAGCCATGTTTAGTTTTTAAGCTAGCAAAATATGTGCATTAAATAGATATAAAATCTACCAGTCTGGGATACAGGACATGCAAGAAAAGTAGTTGCCTGAATTTAGTTGTATGTGCTGGATAAAAATGTCATGAACTGCTCTAAATGTCTGAAGACTTTTGCTGCAGAGGACTCTCACAGAAATGTGAATTAAGGGCATAATCCCTTCATTTCAATAAAGGAAGGACTTTTTACTATCTCCAATGGGGATAAAAGTGAATTGGTTTGAAAGTGGATCTTGTTTATTTTTGTGTTCGAGCTATAAAAGAAAATATGAGACAAAATAAAAGATGTTAGAAGAGACTGGCAATTGTTGAGGGGAAGGAGATAATGAAATAAAAAGCAAAACAACGCAAAAATTGAAGAAGGAAGACATTACCAGGTGAAAAGGTGCCATGAGTGCAGAGTTAAGAAATCAGAGCCCTGACATTTACTATGAAGATAACTCAATGAATGGAGAGAAATTGGTGAACGGAGAGACAGGAGAGGTGATGTGAGCCAGGAGGATAGAAAGCAGGGAGCTGATGGAGAGAATGAGATCAAGCTCTTATGATGGAATAGCTGTAATACTGCCTGGGAGGTGTAAGAACCAGGTGGAAATCAGTTCAGTCCATGTGAGGACGGAGGGAAATCTGCAAGGAGACAAAGGGATGACACCAAAGTGGTGGAAGTAAAAAAGACAACGTTTTATGCAGTGTGAAAGAGCCATATTATACTGGAGAGGATCCAAAGGAGGGCCACACAGATGATCAGAGGGCTGAAGAACTTGTCCTATGAGAACAGATGAAAAGTGTTAAGGTCTTTTCTCCCTGGAGAAGAGCAGGCTCAAGGAGGCCCTCATCACAGTATTCCAGTACTCAAAGAGTGGCTACAAAGAGGAGGGAGGCTCCCTCTTCACAGGGTGCCACATGGAGAAAACAAGGAGCAACAAACAATCCAAAATGCATCAGGAGAGGTTTCATCTTGATGCAAGAAAGGTATTTTTTACATTGAGAACAATCATTCACCGGAAAAACCTCCCCAGAGATGCGGTCCTATCCCCACCTCTGGAGGGTTTCAAGATGCACCAGCACAGGGTGCCAGATAAGCTCATCATGACTCCCTTTCCCATGGCAAGTGGGACCAGATGATCTTTCGAGGTCCCTTCCAACCTGGGCTGTTCTAGGATTCTATTAACACCTTTACCAGGATTCACTGGTCTGACAACAGTGCAGGCCCCTATGGAGTTCAGATGCTCAACTATGTAACAGACTCCAAAGAGACATCCATGCCACCAGATTCAAGAGGTAATAACTGGAACACTTTGATGGAGATCTGGCAAAGGAATTGAAAACAAGAATCAGTGACAGAAGCTTTCTCTTTTTTCCCCTCCACTGTCTTAGGGAACTGTACTGACCAGCATTGAATTTCCTTTTCACATGGTGGGCAAACCTGCCAGCTGCCAGCCACTGGAATGGCCTGCAACAAAACTTAAGTAGCTGCAGTAAAATCTGGCTAAGCCAGCTCCTACAAAAGTGTCATCTTCAACACTGAGCATCTCAACAAAAGGCATTGGCAACACCGAAATAGGCAGTTTTATAAAACTGAGATTTAGAGATGAGCTATCTTCATTTGAATGCAGTAATTGTATAGTATTTTAAAAGAGGTTTTTGTTTTTATTTGACCAAAATGCATGATCCCCATTTTTCTTATGTGTCGTTATAGGAAGGTGACACTTAGTTTTTCTAAGAGTCAAACATGGCTTTGCAGAACAGAACATTTTTAACAATTAAAAATAGTGATTAGAGGGAAGAATTTTAGAATCTTTTTAAACATGGACTCTCTGTGGTATGTATTTTTTTACTGTTTTAAGGTCTCAAGTAATAGAAAAATCATGCAAAGGTAATACAAGCAATCTGAAATCCACTGCAAGCAGTTCTATTTTAACTCAGCAATTCACACCAAATTCTTTCACCACACTAAGAATGAATTCAAGAAAATAAATATCCAAGGAGAAATATGGATTTAATTGTTATTGCTGTTACGTTGCTAAAATAAAACAGCTGTGATCACACACTCAGATAAAGCCATTGTTTAACAAATATTTTTATTAAACATCTCTGTAGTGGAGATGAGTCCAGCTCCCCAAGAGCAGAGCAGGCTGCTTCCCAGACCACCCATTGCTCCTGAGGTTAAACAACCCATCCAGCTGTTGGGGGGTAGGGGAACCGGATCAGACACACTGCACACCACGGCAGACATGGAGTTTGCTCATGGACACATTAAAGTTTAACAACTGGATTTTCACATTCAAGTAAACAGATCAAGATCTTTTTCCAAATCATTCATTTGACCACTAGTTAATGACAGCAATGGGGTTTCTTAGAGGGCACCCTCCCAAAACTAACAACAACCCGTGCAGCCCTCAGCACAGAAGTCTTGGAACACTGAGGTCAGCTGATTTTAAGAGGCAGTGGGGAAAAGCAGGGCATAGGGAGGTCAGAGGTACAACAGGAGCAGTCAGGAAAATAAATTGACCACGGTCATACAGCAAATAAACTGTGTGTCTGAGCTGTGAATAAAATCCAGAAGTCCTGATTCCTTGTCTCTCTGCTCTGTTGCTCCAGTCCTAATCAGATCCTCTCTCAAAACAACTTTCTAATACAGACAGGCCAGGAGACTGAAACATTTATCCTATCTACAAACCAAGGGCAGTAAAAGGTTTCCTTCACACAGTCCCTCCAGTATTTCTGTTATGGCCTCAAAGACTCTGTTAATAAATACTGCACTTTTCCTCCAGGTCGGCAATCAGAATTTCTGAGCCTGCAGAATTTATCATTCTGCTCTGAAGGTATTTTCAAGAATTATTCAAACTTAAAATCTGAGCAATCTTTTACAGAGAGTTTCCTTCAAGTTCTGGCATCGACCAGTCTGTGTTTGCTAGGGTTATTGATGGTTTGTTAGGGTTATCACAGGAGTTGTAAAAGCAGAAGACATTTTCACACACAACATTTATAAATATCCAATACTGGTCGAGACTTATATCACCTTTCTGTTACAGTAAAATAACAAACATCTCATATTCAGACCAGACAGAAAATAGACAAAGTATGAAGATTCATACTCATAAACTTCTCTAAAAAAAGCTACATAATTCACAGGAGTACATAAGGAGACTTAAATTTGTGCAATTGTTTCTAATCTTTAACTGTCAACATGCACTGTTTACCATGGGATGTGCAGTGTGATTTTTCCACATAGATTTGTAGCAAACCAATTAAGCAACTGGTCTTACCTAAAAGTGCTGAGCAAAAAAAAAAAAAAAAAAAAAAAAAAAAAAAAAAAAAAAAAAAAAAAAAAAAAAAAAAAAAAAAAAAAAAAAACCAACAAAAAAACAAACAAACAAACAAACACAAAAACCCCCCACCAGATTTAGGATGGGCTAGGGACTACTGAAGTCGAGCCATTGCAAAGTGTATTGATCAGTTTTCCTAATAACACATCAGTCACTGAATTCAAGTGTTCAGTTTTAATTTAAAGTTTTATCAGCCCCTTGGAACCTGGAACCGATGGGTCAGGACTTCAGTGGTGCAGATCAGAGCAGTTTTCCTGTAATACACAATTATACAAGTCTGAAACTGATCTAAATATTTCACAGAATCACAGAAAATTCTGAGCTGGAAGGGACCCACAGAATAACTGAATGGTTTGTGTTGGAAGGGACCTTAAAGCTCATCCAGCCCTCCCTCGCACATCTCCATCGCTCCCCTTGGCCGGCGCTGCCCTCTCGTGGGCACCGCCCGCGTTCGGTTTGCGAGGTTTGGGGCTGCCTGACGCTAAAAATTAGAAAAGCAAAGCTTTTCTCAGGATGTGGAGCTCATGTATGTAAGGTTGGAAAGATGACAGGGAATTCACAGAAGGAAGGTACTGCCAACTACATCACATAGGGGTCAGGTACCCTCAAGGCATCAACACTTCCCAAACAGTACTACTATTTAATGTATCACTAAAAGTTCTGTATAGGCCCATTAATCCACTGGAAAAGCATTTCTGTCTTATCTCAAGTATTACCAGCCACAGTCTGAAGAGCAACTGTAAGACTACAAAGAAACAAGAAAAATATACTTTCATTAATTACTACGCCCCCTCCCCAAGACAACACTAAAATAGTTGAATTAATAAAATGTACCAAATCTGGTAAGAGCATTCTATAATATGTTATATGCAAGCTGGCTTTAGCTCATTTTGTTGGTAGGATTAATTTTTAGAAATTTAAGACTTTCCTGTTAATCCCAGATAATAGTGCAGTTTGGTAAACTAATCAGATTACAGTGAATGTCAGTGCCATTTGATTTTAAATGATGTGAAGCATATTACTGGAACTATCACCCCCTCATTTTATGAAAGGATGATCTGGAAGAATGTCAGGCAGGGTTCACTGTGTCTCAACAGCTGCAGAGCTCTGCTTCAAGTCCTTTTTAAAATTATGGCTTTGTTTATTCTGCTTTATCTCTGACTGACATTTTCTGACAGCAAGTTAGGACAAGAATTTTAAAAAGACTGTTGGACTTTGTCACAACAATGGATGTTCAAATACTGTGTAAGAAACTAGTATACAAACTTACCTTCTACTCATACACCACTAAATTACCACCTCCTACCACCATCAGCCAAATATTTGATGTGCATTTTCAATTAAAAATCAACTGCCCTACCCAGTCCTTCCCACTCGTTTGATTCATAAGCTTCATTTTGCATCTCCCTCGTTCCCCATACCTTTACTCTGATTGGTTCCAGCCGGGCTCAAGCCTATTTTATTTCTGGTTAATCAGATTAGGTAAGAAGCTGGGATTGTGATGTCAGTGCATTAATAGAAGGAAGTAATACTTCCTGCAGGAAAGATGGCAATTTTGACCTTTTAGAAGCAGGTCTTGATCTGACTGCAAGATGAAAACAGAGCAAGCCAAACTGCAGTAAGAACATCAAACTCATTCTGTGAGAGCAGAGTTCAAAGTGAGGTTATGGCTCGTGGACTGCAGGTAAGAAAGAATAAAGCCCTCATGTTTGGTGTTTTGCTTGAAGGGAGCTTTGGGTGGGGGGAAGGAGGTCAGCTTCAGCAAAAATAGTAGAACATTAGAAATAGTAACTCATGAAAGGCCTCAGTTCTTACAGGAGAAATACTGGCTTTCTGAACAGAAGCATCTTATTAGACTCACTTTTTTACAAACTTGTGACACTAATTGTTTGACTTGAACATACCTGTATTCATATTCTTTCATTCTGTGCTGATGAAACAATACTTACTTATAAATCTCTTTACTGTACAAAATTGCTGTAGTTCATTTTCTTGGGTTTTTTTCCCCCTACAGTAACTGAACAACAGATGAGACTGAAACTAAATTAAACAACTAACTCCTCAAGTTGTAAACTCATGATTTAAAAATTTAATTACTTTGTACGTTAGTTTAGCAGACTGTTTTATTATTATGGGCTGCTGCTGTATTATTTAGCATGTGCCACAATACAAATGGTTTTATGAGCCTGTCGGGTGTATGCAGCAGGTTGCTATGGCGATGTGGTGCTCAAACTGATGCAATCCTTAAGGTTCTGTTCTTGAACCTTTCATCAGACCTTAAAAAAGGCTTCATACACAGCAGCAAACAAAGTACTAACATAACAGATACTGTTTGCACAAAATACCCTCAAGGAGCACAGTTGTTAACAAAATAAAAGGTACAAAGGTGCAGTGCTGGAGGAGCTCTAAGCAGTAATGACTGTGCACATCTGTAAGCCTTAAGATTAGCTTTATTCCACAGGTACATTAACGTGGACAAAGCTCATCCCTCCCTTGAGCTGAGCCACTTGTGATGCCTCCATCAAGTGCAGCAGAGAAACTGAACTTACAGTCAAAGAGGCTGACCTTTAACTTGCTGTGCAGATGAAAGCCCAATTTATAAATGCAAAGCAAATGGTAAAGCTGAAGTACATTAAACACTGTGATCCCATTATGATTGGGCAAAAGAAACTGCTCCAATCACAGGGAGCATTGTCATTGCATTTAAGCTGCAGTTATGCAGAATGCAAGACAGATGGGGATACTGGAAAAAAATTAGAACAAAATAAAATCCAACAATAAAACAAACAGAACTTTTTAAACTGCTCATCATGTCAGCGACTCTCCTTAAAGGTGCTTTTTTGGAACTCCAAATGAAAATCATGCTTATGTGTTCCAGTTGTCTCAAACAAACATTTATTATTGTACCAATGCTTCTAATGAATTCCTACTGTCACTGACTCTTGTTGACAGAACCCCATATCCTGCCTGTGTATTCACTATTGGCAACCTCACACAGGCAGAAATTACCCCTTTTCAAGCTGTCCAGCTGGGCTAATACAACACTCAAACAATGAGCAGCTCTGCACTGCACTGAACCTGCTGTGGATGTCACTGTCTGGCCTGACCCACAGTCATACCAGTGTCACTGCCACAGTCCCTCCCAGGATCAATAAGGCACGAATAAAACTAATTTAAAAACAGTCCTTCACCTAAGCTTTCACTGTGCTGACTTTAGCCACGAAGAAAATAGAAGCTAAACCAGGCAAAACAGTAGTGCTGCCACTCAGCCAGGGCTCAGCTGTGAGGTTATTCTGCGTGTGTATCTTGGACCATTAGGGCCTATCAATTCTGAGTATCTGCAGAATACAGTTAGTCCAGCCAGGGTGAGATTCTTCATGCATTGCCTTGTAACACAATAATCTGTTCTCTGAAATCTTTACCACCTGTCTCGAGCTTTATCTTTAAATGCAGTAAGCTATTCATGGCCAACTTAAAATAAATGGCAGTAATTGCTTATCTCATTTTTGGCTGCTGTGAGTTTTGCAAGTAAAAACCTCCTACTGTTCCCTACAGTCCATTTTTCTTTTCTTCCTAAGCACTCATTTCTGCTATGCCAAAAAAAAAAAAAAAAAAAAAAAAAAAAAATTAAAAACAATTCATCTCTCTAAAGAGCTTGCAGGTGTTAACTTGTTGTTATCAATACTTTATGCTATTCCTGCCTAGTCCACAGCTCTGTGCTATTAGCAAAGCACTGTACTGAGTTCTGTGGAATGTGACTGGTGTGTACATAACCTATTTTGCACCAGTGAAGCTTTGAGCCAGCTCTGAATTTTCCTTTCAGTCAGTTCTGTATTTTTAACAATAGCAGGGCAATATTAGATGTGACAAAATCTCACTAATTTGATTTTTTTTTCTGAACTTATTTCTAATACATATTTAGCCCTCTTATTCACAATTCCTTCTGGCTGGGATTTTTTTAATGGGTTGATGATGGTCGAGAATTTCTCTTACAGTAACTGGGGCAAAGTAGTTGTCTATCCAGCTACAACTCAGACAAGCACACGAGCTCCTAAGTTATCAGACTGTGAATTGTTCTCTCAGAAAGATCAAAACCTCTCAGAAATATTTCTATTTTGACATATTATTGGGTGGGAGGAATTCTTTCTTTGCATTATCAGACTGGAAAGCTTTTTCCTGTATGACTCTGTTGCTACACTTAGAGCTATTTACCTTCCACTTGCAGATAAGAGAAGAACAAAGTGGCTACAACAAAAATCTATTTTGCATTCCTAAGCATTATGAAGAAGATTTGGAAAGAGTCTTCATTCCTCATGGACTCATCCTGGACAGGTATGAGGAGAAGGAGCAAAGTGAAGTCAATGATAATTTCCCTGTGTAGCCCATGAGAAACATGGAAACTCTGCAGCTCTAACACTTCCGTTCTAGAGTTCAGTACAGGAGGGGCTTATGGAAAAGATTCCTCTACAACATCAGTTAAGTTTCCATAGTACATCAAATATTTCCAAACCTATCTATCCTGCAATGTTTAGATTTATGGATGAAACCAACAATATGTCAAGTGGATTAGGCATCATCTTGTGCACTGCAAGTACATCACTTTCCTATTTCATCCTGTGGTCACAACTTGCTAGTTATAAAAACCCAAGGGCAAGATCAGAATTTTAACATGGACAAACAAGTATGATATACAAAACACTTGACAGAATGTGTTTTCTTTTTTTTTTTTGTCTCCCAGGACAGAACGCTTGGCTAGAGATATCATGCAAGACATGGGAAGTCATCACATTGTTGCACTCTGTGTCCTTAAAGGAGGCTATAAATTCTTTGCTGATTTGCTGGACCATATAAAAGCACTAAATCAAAATGGTGACAAATCTGTGCCTATTACTGTGGATTTTGTTAGAATAAAAAGCTACTGTGTAAGCAATTTTCTTTTCTTTGGAAAACTGACTCTCCGCATAGATTGACATTCTAAATACTGGTAGTTTACATGAAAACTCCACAAAAAATGAGTTTATGCATATATCCTGTTCAAAGCAATCCAACTGATTACACACTGAAAAGGAACTGATTTACTGATCTGTCCCAATGAACAGACGGATATTATCCATTCACTTCAACAAACATACAGCAGAATGAATCAACACGACAAAGCCAGGGCAGGGCTCCAGTATCTTCCTCTTGCAAAAAGCAAGAGCACCACACCATTCACACATACATACAGGATAACACTCTTTAGCATGCTTTATGTGACTTCCCTCTCTTCTTTCTCTTTCTAGAATGATTCACCTGCAGGAAAAATCAGTTTTGTTGGCGAGGAACTGTCTACACTACATGGGAAGGTATGAACTAGCATCTTCACCTTTTAAAGGGAAAGAAGTGTTCTTGTTTATCTTTCAGGAAGTCCATCTTTATTAAGATTTTGGTACTGCATACTTACAGCCACTTGACACNTTAACTTGTTGTTATCAATACTTTATGCTATTCCTGCCTAGTCCACAGCTCTGTGCTATTAGCAAAGCACTGTACTGAGTTCTGTGGAATGTGACTGGTGTGTACATAACCTATTTTGCACCAGTGAAGCTCTGAGCCAGCTCTGAATTTTCCTTTCAGTCAGTTCTGTATTTTTAACAATAGCAGGGCAATATTAGATGTGACAAAATCTCACTAATTTGATTTTTTTTTCTGAACTTATTTCTAATACGTATTTAGCCCTCTTATTGACAATTCCTTCTGGCTGGGATTTTTTTAATGGGTTGATGATGGTCGAGAATTTCTCTTACAGTGACTGGGGCAAAGTAGTTGTCTATCCAGCTACAACTCAGACAAGCACAAGAGCTCCTAAGTTATCAGACTGTGAATTGTTCTCTCAGAAAGATCAAAACCTCTCAGAAATATTTCTATTTTGACATATTATTGGGTGGGAGGAATTCTTTCTTTGCATTATCAGACTGGAAAGCTTTTTCCTGTATGACTCTGTTGCTACACTTAGAGCTATTTACCTTTCACTTGCAGATAAGAGATGAACAAAGTGGCTACAACAAAAATCTATTTTGCATTCCTAAGCATTATGAAGAAGATTTAGAAAGAGTCTTCATTCCTCATGGACTCATCCTGGACAGGTATGAGGAGAAGAAGCAAAGTGAAGTCAATGATAATTTCCCTTTGTAGCCCATGAGAAACATGGAAACTCTGCAGCTCTAACACTTCCGTTCTAGAGTTCAGTACAGGAGGGGCTTATGGAAAAGATTCCTCTACAACATCAGTTAAGTTTCCATAATACATCAAATATTTCCAAACCTATCTATCCTGCAATGTTTAGATTTATGGATGAAACCAACAATATGTCAAGTGGATTAGGCATCATCTTGTGCACTGCAAGTACATCACTTTCCTATTTCATCCTGTGGTCACAACTTGCTGGTTATAAAAACCCAAGGGCAAGATCAGAATTTTAACTTGGACACTGCTTAATACATGGACAAACAAGTATGATATACAAAACACTTGACAGAATGTGTTTTCTTTTTTTTTTTTGTCTCCCAGGACAGAACGCTTGGCTAGAGATATCATGCAAGACATGGGAAGTCATCACATTGTTGCACTCTGTGTCCTTAAAGGAGGCTATAAATTCTTTGCTGATTTGCTGGACCATATAAAAGCACTAAATCAAAATGGGGACAAATCTGTGCCTATTACTGTGGATTTTGTTAGAATAAAAAGCTACTGTGTAAGCAATTTTCTTTTCTTTGGAAAACTGACTCTCCGCATAGATTGACATTCTAAATACTGGTAGTTTACATGAAAACTCCACAAAAAATTAGTTTATGCATATATCCTGTTCAAAGCAATCCAACTGATTACACACTGAAAAGGAACTGATTTACTGATCTGTCCCAATGAACAGACGGATATTATCCATTCACTTCAACAAACATACAGCAGAATGAATCAACACGACAAAGCCAGGGCAGGGCTCCAGTATCTTCCTCTTGCAAAAAGCAAGAGCAGCACACCATTCACACATACATACAGGATAACACTCTTTAGCATGCTTTATGTGACTTCCCTCTCTTCTTTCTCTTTCTAGAATGATTCACCTGCAGGAAAAATCAGTTTTGTTGGCGAGGAACTGTCTACACTACATGGGAAGGTATGAACTAGCATCTTCACCTTTTAAAGGGAAAGAAGTGTTCTTGT